ACGTCTACGTTGTTAGATGTTGGCATCTAACAACTGGTCTTGTGCTTTGATTCTCGATATTGCAATTCCCTTTCTTCTGAATTTGTTGTAATACTGCCATCATTAATATTGTTACTTGGTCGTTAGTCGGGTAGATACGTAGTGTCTATTCAATTGAAAAGTTTCATTTGCTATTGTTAATGCGTGTCTACGACGTAGATCTTGTAATCGTAATTTGCGTTATTCTTGAGTTTCATTTTTTATTGATAGTGTGTGTTTTTGACGATCAGCTAATAATCGAGTTTCGCGCTGCTCTTAAGACGCATCCTGTGATCTTTCATTTAGTATATCTAAACATTGGCGCTTTTGTTTCATTTGCAAGCTTTCCTTGGCGCTTATGTTTTTCTTTCTCTAATCGTCGCTTGCGTTGTGTTGTAGATTCTCTTCGTTTTCTTTACGCATTCTCTGTTTGTGAAGTAAAGGACATTTTAAAGGGTTATATTTTAAACATATATTATTATCACGTTACCATAGAGATATGGGGAGATTTTCGTTACATTAATGGGACATTACATCCGCTTCATCCAACTCTATAAAACTACATTTCTTTAATTCCATAAACTTTAAAAATCTTTAGAACTCTGTCCTACTGTTGCCACTTATTTTTGTTCAATATTACAATCCCATTGATCACAGTCATGTACTATTATTTATAAGTTGTTATAAAATTAATTTTTACAGCACGTGAGAATTCCTAATAAGCGGTCATTATTTGTTAGTCTTATAACATATTTAAAAACAGCATATCTTTAGTTCCGATAAACAGGAATAAATAAGTAGGAACTGACTTTAATATGTGAAAAAAACTGTATTAACATCAAGTGTCATCCACTACAAGTTTTAAAAAAGTGTATTTGAACTTGAGTGGATGAATAAAAAGTACTTTATTAACAATTGAAAATTTGAACAAGATATATGAAGAGTGTGAGCTAATAGTAGGAATTTAAAAAAAGGGGGGGTTGTATTCCAAAATTGGGCGCAGGATTGAAAATGTTCTTCGACGCTTGGTTTATTAACGCGTTTGGATGACTGAATGACGCCCGTTAGGGGGGAGAGGGACAGAACCGGAAATATGAAGTGAGTTGAATAATGCGCAAGAAATCTGGAAAAAAAATATCCAACAAGATATTAGAATCAAGAAGATATAAGTTTTATCAAGATATTAGAATCATAAGCCAAGTATAGAATGGTAATGAAAACTAAGGTAATGTTGAAATTATATGAGAAATATTCAAGAAGAAGAAAACCTGCCATAAATATGTTAAAATCCAAAACAAAACAAACAAATAAAATAGGGCACTAGTTGTGAGTCAAGGCTATTAACGGACCATTTCGAAAGATATGTAAAAGAGACGAAACTGGGGAGAAAAAAATGAATCAGTGAAACCTGTACCCATTTTCGTCTGCTGTTATGGAATATAAATGTGTAGAAAGGAATTGTTCCTGAAGAATTGTTTTCAAAAAGAAAAAATACATACGAGATTAGGACAAACTATGGAGAAGAAATATGGGAAATATGTGTAGTAAAGAGTTTTGAAGAAATTGGTCAGTTTCTTTATTTATATTTCGCACATTCTCGTCTTAACACTTGAAGCTGTTTTCTGGCTTACTGTAATATCGTTTTTGAATGTTATATTTAAGAGAGCAAAATAGTAACTGATCCACGACACGTATAAAATTGCGGTTGAAGGTTAAATACAAGAGATTGAACGTCACAAATAATTATCATTCAGATGAAATTTTTTCGTTTTTAAGGTACATAGAATTCTAAAATTTGTTCTATTCTCAGCTTCTAGCTTTCACTTTCTGTACAACATGTGTAGTTGTTACGGTGAAACACCAAATCTGGAGAATGTCGATTTTCACCGGTGAATGTCAACATTCACTCACATAGTCGCTTGGTGTATGTTCGAAATATTTTCCAAATATTCTTATTTCTAACTTATACCGGTGAATGTCGACATTCACCATGTACTAATGGTGAATGTTGAACACATAAGAATATTATATTTTCTTCTCCGTAATTCATTCGCGAAACGAAAAAACGCACTTGAAATCAAATAAGAACTTAAGAATATAAGAACTTAAAACACACTGTACATTCAAAATGAGAAAGGAAAATAATAGAAGTTAAAAACTTACTAAATTACGTGATTCAAATCTTATTTATTGCAAACAACTTAAACTATTAGGACACTTTCAATTGCACAAGAGGCCCTTGCTTTTACAACTGCATTTATTTGTGGAACACTTCCTTTTGCAATGAGAGCGTGTACATATACTCCTCTCTTTTCGACCTATACCAGAGCATATCTGTGATTGTCGATATACACCGGTGAGGGTCCGAATGTAAAGAAATATTCGATCTTTCACCGACGTATTTGGTGAATGTTGACATTCTCAGGCGAAAGTCGACATTCTCCAATTTCGGTCTTTCACGGTAACATAGTGATTATATTTCTGGTGCCTATGCCAGGAAGCTGCGTATGAAGAAATCATGATGAAAATAATGTTTTCAGTTTAAAATCGTTTGTCAAACACTACACATTGTGTTCTACAGCGTTTGTCTTGAAAGCAAATTGATTGATAATGACAAAGAGAATTTGTTACAGATATCATCAGTTATATTTAAAGGTATCCAAAGTAAGTCCCTTTTGAAGCCACACAATGCTCCTAATGTTTTTTCCATTGCTCATGCACCCCCAGAAACTCCTTTTTCTGGATACTTCGAAGGTACCTCCTCGTCGCGTCTTGAACGGTCTGGTTTCCTTTCTTGACACTTTTAAATAATAGTGTGTCTCGAAAGAATAATTTTTTATATTTCGATTTTTTAATAAGTATCACTGTTTTCGAGATATTCTCGATTTTTACCCGACAAAAAATAGAGAAAAAATCGTAACTGCTGCTCTAGTATAGCTACAGTCACCATTCTTGCGCCAAATTAAAGAGCCTCTTGCTAGTAGGTGCAATAGACCTCGAGATAACTTCGATAGAATTTTACGTGGGATTTATTTGGGTACCGGATTCTCAGGTTCAAATAACCGCGGAGCCGAAATTTTTTTTATGATCTCATAGTCTCTCTCAGTCCTCATATTTTGTATACTTTCGATTTTAAATAAGTATCACAGTTATTTTTAAGTTTAGGGTCAAAAATCGGAAAAAAAAAAAAAAAAAAAAAGAAACATCCTAAGCGTCCTGGCTTTAGTCTTTCGAAGTTTCTGTCTGAAACATAATCTAGCCTTAATTTCCTCCTAGCTGAAACTGTGGTCTCATAAGTCACTTCTTGTCAGTCTTTTAATGAGAATCAAGTAAAAGAAAGTATTTAAAACGTTGTGTTGGAAGTCCGTGAGTGTTAATTCTGTGTTATAGGTAATTTTAAAAGACTCTAATATTGTTTCCGATTTGAGTGTTCGTATCTCGAGACACACTTCATCACCCGAGACCTTTCTTGTTCAGATGACTTCGTCACCCGAATTGTTCAATACGAGAGGCGTTTGTGACTCGAGGTTCCACTGCATTTGAATGGTACCTCAGTGAGAAGTTCTGAGCCAACTTAGAATTTAAAATCAGTTGGATAGTCTTTGACTTCTTAGTTTACGTTTGAATTTGGTTGTTACTTTAAGTTACATCAACACAAGAGGTGGTTGGTTTTTAAGCATCGTATGTTCAAGTTTTGATTTGATAAAAAGGTTATTTTAAGTCTTTTCGAGACTCTACCGTTATTTCATACAAGCGGCAATTCGCGCTAAGTCTGTTAGGAGTTTGGAATTATTTTTTGCTACCAAAGCAAGTCAAACTTTCTAACGTTCTTGGAGAAAAGCAGTTCAATTTCTTATTTCTGTTTCGAAATACATAGAAATAGTGTACAGCGAGATAGGTTTCATCCACATGCTTAGCTGTCTGTGTTTTGTACGTATTGAATAAGATATGGTTGACATGAAGACAGACTCGAACTACCGCATGCCTTGGTAACTAGTATGTTTTATTTATGAGCAAAACATCCAACAAATGGTCCAAATTATTATGATAGACGATTATCTTCTAAGGCAGCTCCATTTGGCGAGAGAGAAACGTCCACCTTTATTAAATTTTATCGTAGTATGAGCAATAATGCGATGAAATATCACGATATTTGTTAATCCAAAAGGGACTGGAATAAGAATTGGCATTTCGCGTTGAATCACTATAAACGGCATATCATTTTTTCAAATTGTTGCCACCAAATGTTATCGCCCTATATTATATTTAAAGAAATTAAATAAGGAAGAATCTGCATGAATGTGTGCACGCTTGTGAAAAAACAACGGTTCCAATTTTGAATAACGTAGTGCTCCACCTCAACATGGGTACCTGAAAGCCCGAATTTGGATTTTCGAATTTGCTTTATTATCTCTTTCATGTTTTGTTAAGACTTAAACGTTAATAATAATAATAATATTAAAAATGTGTTGTAAAGCCATTTTAATGAGAAAACGGGGGGGGGGTAGAAAAGAAACAAGTAGAAAAGTGTTATATCAACACTTAACGCTGCATCGAGAATTCTAAACATACTGTGCTGCTTTTAAAATATTTGTAATTTTGCTTTTAAATTGTATATGGCGTAAGTGCGAAGAAAATTGTACTGAAAAAAAAAGGGGGGAGTTAGTAGTAGTTAGTGTCAGCAACAGCAGACTGCGAGCTGAGCGAGAGCGTAAAAAACATTAACAAACCCTTTTGGACTACCGTTAAAATCTGAAATATTTCAGATTTTTGTTTGTATTATAATCTAAGAGCTCTTTTAATTTTAACCCATGTATTTCTGTAGGCAGTCATTTATCAAAGCATGCTATTTTTTTCCAGCAGTTTTTTCCTTTGATATGTTTAGTGTGATAAAATATAAATTGTAATTAAAAGAATGGATTTATTAAACAGATTCAGATCTAAATGGGAATTAAGGAAGTAAAAACAATGTTCTTTTACAGGTTTCTGGATGTTTCCTCCTGGCCGTGGGGATTTACCTTCTTGTCGACAAAGAAAAGACTACCCTTTTCTCTCTCATTCAAGAGCCCAATTTCAGCTATTCTCTCACTCAGTATCTGGCCTGGGCGCTAGTATGCATCGGAGGAGTTGTATTTTTTATTGGTTTCTGTGGCTGCTGCGGGGCCATCAGAGAAAACAGAGGCCTTCTGGTCACAGTAAGAAATTTTATTTTAAATACGCATAATTAGTGTTGCCAACTTATAAATACAGGATGTTTTAAGAAGAAATAGTACTTTTAAATACTTTCTGAGCAGTTGGTTTAAGATTAATGATTTAAGAAATAAGAGGTACAAGGTGGGCTTTCAGATAATGATATTTCTTTTCCTGCATGTGACACCGTTTGAAAAATGTATCCGAAATTTAAGTTTTTATGCCAATTTATTTTCTACAAAGGAAGTTCCAATTATACGATTGGCAAGAAAATAGTTTTGGTTTTTAGTGTGAAATAAAACTTAATTTTTTCTATATAAAAAGTGAAATTTAATCAGTCAAATACCTTCCATCCTGTTCGATGACCGTTTGCCATCTTTCTCGTAACTTTGTGATTTCGCGCTGATAGAGCTTCTGGTCTTTATCAGCAAAAAACGCAACTAGATGCGATTTAAGGTTATCGTTATTAATAAAATTTTTAGCATTTAAGAAGTTTTGAAAACTTAGAAATAAATGATAATTCGATTGAGCATTTCCCAACCAAGCTCCAATAATTTTGTACCTTTTGCTAATGACGTGTGAGGTCGCACATATTTGTGGTGAAGCACGATTCTTTTCAGGTTTGCTAGTTCTGACATTTTTGACATTTTCTCTTTGATTGCTTCCTCCAGTTTCATACGTTGTTGACAGTAAACATCTAGATCGATCGTTTGGTTGCTTGGAAACGTTCAAAATACACAATCCTTTGTAATGCCACCAAATTCACAGCATGGTGTTTTTCTGATGCAATTTAGTTTTCGACATAATTTGTGCTGATTCATTACGCTTGGACCATGATCCTTTTCGATTAATATTATTACAGATGATTCTTTTTTTATCACCTATGATAATGTAACAACAACAAAGAAAAGTACTTAAACAAACAAATAAACAAAAATCTGAAAAGTTTCAGAGTTTAAATTACGTCTAAAGGGTCGTTTTTTAACATTTTGTGTGTTATCTTTATTTATTAAATTCTTCGCACTTAAACCATACAATTCAGCTCAACAGCAATATCACAAAAATAATTTTAAATTGAGCATATCTTTAGAACTTCCGATACACAGTGTCGCGCACTGGAGATAATTTATTTTCTTCCTTTCTTTCCTGTACAGTGTTGCCATTGCTCGCTTGTGAAATTGTTTAGTTTGTTAATCAAAAATTCGTTGAAGTGTTACAAAATCTGAAATCAATAATAAAACAAATTCCAAATTTCAAATTTGGGCTTCCAGATGCCCATATTCACAGTAGGATTACGTCATTCAAAATTGGATGGCTCTAGGTACCGTTGTTTTATCACAATACGAGAAACATACATACAAGTACATCTATGCAGATTTTTCATTATTTGATTTCTCCAAATATAATACTTGGTGGCAACAGTTTGGAAAGCATTTTAAAGATTTCAACGCAAAATACCAAAACGAAAACAATAGTCCCTCAAGGACTTGAAGCAAATATTGATTCGCTGCTCTGTTAAGTAAATTTTTTCAATTCATACAGAATCCAAACATAAATCTTCTTAACGACTCCAAGACATCTTATTTATAATTTTCGAGTTAACCTTTTTGCAATCTCCCGCGCAGTTTCACTATATTAGATTCAATTATGGCTTTAATTTTGTCATCATCAACTTTAGAAAGTGGGCCACAACGTTGGTCATTTTCAAGTGAAAAATTTCCAGAATGAAATTTTTAAACTAATTCTGACACATGCGTTCTGTTAAGCAAACCTCACATATCTCTTTGTGAACCTCGGCCACGTTTCTGCCTCTATGAAAATAAAAAAATAAGATATGGCGAAAATGTTTATTTTTGCACCCCATGTTAAAACTGGCCGTAAACTAACAGTTGAAAACAAAAATACGCGGAATTTGTTTTTAAACCAACCTAAAAGTATCGGCTGCAAATTTCAAACGAAAACAAATTTATAAGATTGGCTGAGTAGCAAAACGAATATAACGCTATATATTTGTGCAAACCGAAATTATTTTCTTGACAACCCAATAATTTGTATTAAGTTTTAGAATGAAAATAATTTTGTAATTTTTAGAATTGGCTTTCGAGTAACTGCCAAAATTATATGACTTATACCACTTTGCACACGAAAGTAATTTACGGATCGTCGAATCTAGAAGCTGTATAAAAATGAAATCATATCAGATAAAATAAACTGAATTTCACATTATATATCTTATAGAGAAAGACGACGCACATTATGTTTCTTCGCCTTTTTAAGATCCAAATCAGCCTTAATCACTTTCTTTACAGTTGACAGTGACCATTTTAATGATTTTGCTACTGTCCTTTGACTTAGCGGAGTTTCTTTTAAGATTAAAGATCTTACCTTTGCAAAATTCGAAACATTCCGTTCTTTCCTTAAATATGTATTTGGAACAAATTTTCCACATGAAGCCATATTCTGACTTTTTTTAAATTCCTGGTTGACAATACAGTCAAAAGTCGTTAATTCGGACACCCATAATCCGGACCTCAAAGCTAAAAACTTTCTGCGCATGCGCCGCGTTGACACATGCGCATAGGCGTTTACGCGTGCACGTAAGACCTTTACGCGCAAGCGCATATGCGTGTGCGCAAATGCAGAATACGTTTTCGCGTGCGCGTTAACGTATAACGGACGGTATAAGCTAAAATTATACAATTATCTATTTCAGTTAATGCTGATGCTTGCGTTATTCCTTAATCTTCGAATTGGATGCAGCTTATTATTTTTTGCAGACTGTAAGAGCAATTTTATGAAAGTAAACTTGAACTTTCGATTATGTCAATTTCCGATTCTGGAGCTCCCAAAGGATCTACAAAACGAAAGTATGTCTCGATGTCCGTCAAACAAAAAGTGGAATTGCTGCAAAAAATGGATAACGACATGAAGAAGGTGACAGAGAGGTTAGTGAAAACGAAAAAATTTCGATTGACAAGTTAGTCGGTATTCTCGGCACAGCAATTACGGGACTTGAACAGCAGAGCTTTTTAACTGAACAAGAAATTATGTCTTTATAGAATTAGAGAAAAAGTATTATCACATAAAAACGAAACAACTTACATTGAAAGAAATGTTTAATAAAGTAAACAAATAAATATTAAGCTTCTTTTTTTGTAAATTTTGATACCCTTTAGATCATAATTGTTCTTTATTTCCTAAAATACGGTTTCATATTTTTAATTTTAGAATTTGTGCATTCCATCTTACGAGATTTAAACTGATGATCTATAATCCGGAATAGCCGAAGTCCCGACGAGTCCGGATTAACGACTTTTGACTGTATAACCTATCGTAACTTTACATATCGAAAACCCATGGCTTTCACAGTGTTTTGTAATAACTAGAACCGAATAATTTTCTTCGAACTGCCATTTTTTCATGAAAACAAAACTGTCAAGTAGCAGATGATAATTAATACTTCCAAAAATATAGCTGCAATTAAAAAAATTAATTTCTAAGCAGACGAATATTTTTATAACAAAGCATAATCGTCTAAAAATTGTGAGAACAGCCATTGTACGGAGGTTATTTTGATCACATGGTCTAATGTCAAGAGCAAAGCCATGGGCATAATATGCAGATTTTCTCCCGGTCATTGGAAAATATTCAAATCTTAGTTTGCGTATCAAAAAACATATATATACCACTTGCATTCTACCGATACTTTGTTATGCTGCTCCTGCTTGGAACACGGTTACTCAAACTCAACTGCATCAATTACAAGTAGTGCAAAACAAATTTCTGCGCATTATTACCGATTCACACTATCTTATCCGCAATAAACTTTTACACAGAGACTTAAAACTTGAGACGATTTCAGATTACATCAGAAGATCTAATGAAAAATTCTTCAACAAAGCCGTGCAATGTGACTTTGTTAATTACTCCCAAGTCTTTAATTATGAAATTCTCTTCGAAGATAGAAGCGTCAGACCACTTGCAGATCACACCTTCATGGGAGGAAACGACAACTTTTTCACTTAGCTCCTCAATTGGTAGATGTTTATACTTCCAATGCGTCTGATTTTGATTGAAGTTCTTCTGTAGCTTGAATATTATTCTTGGAGATTGATAAAACTAATGCAGTGAGATTTTTCGCACTGTGATGATAGTATTGTAAATAGGTTGCTTAAGTTGTTGTTGAGTTGCTGTAGTGTATTGCGTTGAATAGTTGTATTAAAATTGTATTGTATTGTGTTGTATTTAGCACTATTGATTGAGGTTGTTTAGTTGTATTTGAATTTGACATTGGAACTATTGCTGTAGTATATCTTTTCATATTGTTGTCATTGATTTGCATTGTCTTGGGTCCTCCTTGAAAGCTATGATCGCTCGTCACGTTTTGCGTCCGATTGGATTGTCTTGCTCCTTTTGGTACTTCTCTTCTTCCCCTTTTCTCCGTTTTCTCATCTGAGATTTTTTCCATGTCCGGATTTCTTTATGTCAAGTGCCCTTGGGCTTTAATTCTGAAACCGGCAAAATTGCGTCGGTCAATTGTAGAGTTTAAGTTTTTTCTTCAGTATGGATCTACGTTCTACGTCAAACAACACTGCTACGTCTTTGTCTCTTTTTTATCATATATACAAGATTTTAATTTTCTGATTTCGTAATTTCAAATGAAAAACTTAGTGCATTTCCAGAAACAAACAACATGGCTTCTCTTCTTCAGTGACAAATTTTCTAATCACTCTCACAAGTTCAGTGATCTTAAATACCTATAGTAAACATTTAACTCATATAGTAACGTAAACAGAAGAAGAAGAAACAGGCAAGAAAATTTACAAAATGAATATATATTATTGGTTCATGAGGATTAGATTTAATTTGATTAACTACGCTGACACATTCTGATGAATCCTGAAAGTTTCAAAAAACCCATTTCACTAGGTGAATTTTTTGGGGAAGAACGAGGATTTTAATTGCTACTAATACAGTGTCTCACAAAAGTGATGGGACACTTGTA